GCCAGGTGAGCTCCCTTGCTTGACCTTCTCCTGGGGGTCCCAGAGCCCCTGAAATGACTCCTCACACCTTAAAACCACCAAACTCATTCCCACCTGTAATCAGCATCCTGTGACACTGCTCTGCCTCTGGCCTTCAGCACTCTGTTTTTCTGGGTGATTGTTCTGACTGGTTCAGATGAGTTACTCCAAACATGAACTCAGTGGCTTCTTAAAAATATATCTCAAGTGACAGGTGAGTATTTCACACCCTTTGCTTTAACAGAGCCTGGTACAATCTGTCACAACAATGCCTTAATAAATGTTGAATTGGTGACAGACACGTAGAAGCCAACTCATGTTAATCACACTTCTCAAACAGGACTGGTCAAAGCCTGTCAGAGCAATAACATTTTGAAAACATTGCATTTAACGTTTAATCATTCAGCAAGTCATCACTAGGGCAGAACCACCAGCCACTTCGCAATGGGAACTACAGGAAATCACTACAGCATGCATTCCATAGGAGGCAGAAACAATTCCTAAGTAGTCTGTGGCCTCCTAAACAGTTTCTGACACTGAAAAAGGGGCAGGCTACTGTATGAACACCAATGGCAAGGACTTGTGTGTCCTCCTTTGATACACAGGATGTAGCACAGGGTAAGTACAAGGCACTGTTTTAGAGGAGTAATTGGGCTGTTCTTTCCCACTATGATGGAATTCAAATAATAGGCATGTTTTAAATGTAAAAAAGCTTGGCCTCATCGTTAGTTTTTTGCTGCTATGATCTGTTCATTTATGTTTTCACTCCTCATTTTATTTACTTAAGTAGATCAGGGAAGAGTTACCCTCAAGGAAAATACTCCATAGAAGTCAGCATAGAAACCAAACCCATGCACATCATAGGAAAAAATTCTGAATGCTTTGGCCCCATCTCTAAAACAAAGTTCAAGTCTCAGATCCCTGACAGATATTAATACTCAATTCGCATTTCATGTTCAAACCTGCACTTTGATAACTTGTTTCAGCTTTGCCACAGGCTTCAGAAGCCAGATCTGGGCACTGTTGACCACACATAGTAGACTCAAACATGACACTATGTCTGGGTTACAGAATAGTCTGCCCCATGTGCCACACACTGATGAAATATAGCATATCCACTCCATGCTTAAGTGATCCTTTTGCCATTAAGTCTGTTCTTGTGGTTGCAATTAGTACTGAGAAGGAGCAGTAAACTCATTGCATCCAGGCATCATTTTTCCAACTTGCCTTCCTAAGGAATGAAGCTGATGTGCTAACTCTGCTTGTTTGTGTACATCCCACCACAACTTCCAACCCTCATTCAATTCTGAACAAAAGAATATACCAAAAGAAATTTCTAGTAAGATGCATGTCTCCATCTTCCTTTCTCCAGGAAAGGATTGTAGCCTGAACTCAAATTTTATTAGACGTTATAAAATCTTCACACAGAGCAAGTATGAAGGTCCCAAACATGGGAAATGCTTCATGCAGAGCATGCACCTACAGGTCATTTAATAGCAACGTGAGACAGAAACCATCATCAATTAGTAATGCTGCCCCCTGAACTACAGATGCCTACCTGTCAGTGAAAATCTTCTCACAATTCTACAGCATCATTTGTGGGACTAGAATTTATGTGCAGAATTGACTGCTTTAAAATGCTTATTGTAAATATTTCATATTGCTCTCAACCTGCTAGCACAGTGACAGGGAATGTTAGGCATTTGGGATGCCCTGGAGGGGTGAAAATAAATGATAGCCCTCACCTCAGTGCTGCCCTTTGAAGGGACCCTAGTTAGCCAGATAATGCTATGGGACAATTGTGGTTAAATCCCAAGAGAGCTTTTGGAGTGTCATCCACAGGAGCCCTGATGAGTGCAGAGCAATTAGTTCCAGATGAGCACACAGGCACATAACTTTAAAAGGGTCTGTCTGCTCCCATGCTGGGAGAGAAAGGCATTTCTGCCCAGCAGCCAGGTCAGCTGCTCTGGAAAGAGAGAAGGACCTTCCTCGTTGATTCAGGGTCCAGCTAGGTGCGTGTTTTGGAGCTGAAGGATGGAATTGCATTCACTGCCAGTGAAAATTACAGGATCATGTTTGCTGGGTAGCTGACAAATTCCCATAAAATACTATGCTGAAATTTCTCTATTTCACAGGGTCACTGCTCAGCAGCTCAAGACTTGGCTTTCCTACAGGTGTTCACAGTGTGCCAGACAGTTCCCAGGAACACACATAAAGCTCTCTTTCCTAAAACATCTAATCTAAACACCAGTATTGCTGCACTTTTATGTATATCTTTGTGTGTTCTGGCACCTGATAAAAGCTCCATTATTTTCAATGAATGAGTGTCACCTGGTGATACCACAGCTTCCTCTGAAGAGGTGCTTTCGCAGAGTTCATCTTCAGGTTATACATGAAGTTGGTTTTTGGGGGTTTTTTTTCCCCAGAAAACTCCAGGAAAGACATCTGAAAAACACTTTTGTGCATCTTGTTTGGATTCCTTCCCACCACAGAAGGTAGGAGCTAAAGCCCAGCTGCTCTCAGAGAAGCGACGGCTCAGCAGCTGAACTCCTATTGTGTACAGAACAGTAAAAGCACCCAACAAATGAAAAGTATTGATGGAGCAGCTACAGGTTCGTTGTTATAAGGACCACTAGTGACTACTAAATGCCATCAGATGGTTAAGCACAGCCATTTATGGTTTAATGGCTCCTCTCAGGATCCTGGGAAACTAGCTTGTAAAAAGCATCAGAGGCCCACTTTGTTTTTAACTAGCCACAAAGGCATTTAACTGAGCAAGCCAGAGTGGGCTCTCTGATACAAATGGTTCTGGCTGAGCAAGACACACTTGCTGCAGTCTCTCTAAGGGAGAGAATAATTGAATCTTCCTGGCTGCTTGGCCCTTGGTGTAGGTTAGGCAGGTACTTTTTCTGCAGTCACAGTGGGGTCCTGCAATTTACCATAAGCTCCTAAAAATGTCACATATCACTAGTCACTGCACACAGGCTACCCAATGATAACCACCTTACTGGTGAGCTAAGATTCAAATATGAAACGGCAGTGCTTTCTGGACCAGCATGACCCTAAGTGGAAGGATATTAGTTTTTTATATTTAAATTTAGTGTCTGATTCTAACAGATTTACTAAGCACTATGATGGCTCTGTAATAGAGAGTCAATTTTGCATACTTTAAACCCATATTTAACTTCAAGTAAATTACAAAAGATGACATTGTGCATAGTGTGCTAGAGACAAGGTTTTTGAAGAAACATTTTGGCTCCTACTTAAGCCTATTCTGCTTGGGACAATGATGGAAGAAATACTATTCTGTGCTCAGAAATCCATTAATACAAGCATACCATGGAAGACAGAAGCAGTACTTCTTTCTAGTGTTAATGGAACAGTCCATCAAACATTGCTTTGCAGGTGGTTCTGGCACAGTATGAAAAAGGATGCTCACACCTGCAGATCTGATAACACTGAAATGCTTCCCTTCCGCAAATGTTCCTGCTACATTGAAGAGTTTGCATTAAACCTTCATCCATGGCTTCCCAAGTGCAAGGGAAGCCTTCAGAGTACTCCCTGAACGGGCTGTCATGTGTCTTAGTGACAGGATGCAAGCACTGATGTGTGCAGCACAGAACAAGTGTGTTCAGTGGGCTGGCCTCTGCTAGCACCTAATGCTGCCCTCACCTGCCCATTCTGGGTGAGCCAGCATCCATCTGCCTTGTGCTTGCAGTGCTGCTTCAAGAGCACAAATCACTCCCTGTCTACAGCTACACCTCTGTCAGAGGTGAATAATTCACTGGCTATTGAAAAGGCAACCACTTCTTTTCCCTCTTCCTTTTTTTTTTTTTTTCCTCAGAGTGCCTAAATCAGGTCTGACTAGAAAAAGACTGTATCATCTTGGTCACACACTGTTAGTTTTTTTTGGGTAAAGCACAAAACCATGTCCTTGCAGACACTGCTCATTAGAAAGCACAGCTTTCACAGGGTCTTTTCTAACCGAAGAATTCTGGGAAACAGTGCTGGGGCAAGAGGTGGTACCTGCTGACAACCTTGCCATAGGGAGAGGGTGGTGAGAGCACACATCAGTGCAAAATGCTCAAATGGCTCCTATTGAGCTGACATGGGGGAAGCACCTACAACCAAGTCCTCCATTTGGCTCGAGGGCAGAAAATGTTTCTTGGGATGCAGGCCTAGAGTGTTTGTGTCAAACAGTATTTTGGTGCCCTCTTCTCACCACTTGTATGCTCATAAAAATCTCCAAAATGCATATGCTAATTTCTTCACCTTCCAAGCAACACATCAAAGATATTTTGCATACACAGATTTCCAGCTAAGACTCCTATATTTTTGACTCATTAAAATGTAACTGCTCTTGTTCTCAGTCTCGATATAGCAGTCAAAAAACATTCAATGCTCATTTCAAACTACACTGATAGTATCAAACAATGACCAAATAGGCTACTGCTGTGTATGAAGAATAAATCTCTTCTGTTTGCAAAGGATTTCTAAAGAAGAGCTTAGAAACCACCTGATTTTTATTCATATTTGCTGTTGTGCATCTAACGTTATTTAAATAATGTCTTCATTCCCTCTGTACATAATGTTTTGGAACATAATGTGCTCCAGGCCAAAACATTAAACTTAGAATATACATAAATGTAAGTGACATTTTACCTGAGTGACATGAGGAGTTCTTGAGATTTTGGGAGCCCAGCAAGCCAGCACACTGCACTGAACTGCACATGCAGATCAGGAGTATTTTCTATATTATTTGGGTGCAGCATACACTAATTCAGTGAGGAACAAATTTTCCAAAACTATATACTTTTTAAAAGTTTTCCAGTATTAACCCTTTTAATTATCTCTATTAATGTATTTTTGGACTAGCCAACAATTACAAAAGTAAAACAAAAAAAAAAAAGAGAGAAGTATAAAAAATATCAAATCAAAATTATTAAAAAGCACTACACTTTTGTATAGGTCTGAACACTTACCTATAAGCAGGATAACTAATACATCTGTAATGTAATAACCAAACAGCAAAGGCTTCTGCCAGACCTCCACACCAACAGTACCAGTGAGCAGATATGCTGCTATTAACACCTACAGAAAAAAAGAGAACTGATTTTCAATCCTTTGCATCTAAAGGCAGAGAATTTCACTTATCATCTTAATGCAAATGCAAAAGTAAAAAAAAAAATCTGTTAGTTACCTCCTGCCCCTACTTTACCTTCTGCTGCCATGGCAAAACAATTACTTCTAAGCAGTGAAGCAACTTGCAGGGTCACCAAGAGAATTATTTAAAATGTATGAAATATGGTAAACAAGCACCTTCCCTGGTAATGTCTGCATCTGTTTGTATGTGGTAAATATTACTGACTTACCTTTTCAAAATACCTAAATCCACTTCTATTGCCAGGTCTCCCCACTGCACGTGCACTTCCCTGTTTTTGGATACAGACTTCAGAACTGGCAATGTGGTTATTTTTGCAGCTCTGCCCCTTGAACTGATTATATCAGAATAACTGAGAAAGGGGGAGAAAAACCCTAAGCCCACATGAAACAATAAAAAAATAATGAAAACATTCAATTAAATGTGAAGAAATAAAAAGAATGGGAAGGAGATTAAGTCCTCCCTGATTTTTAATTTGTTTGACAGATAACACCATTACAGGACATAAAAAGAATCACGCAGATGTCATTAGGAGTGAAAGGACACATACACAAGACTCAGGAGTACCCAGCTAGAGGGACTGCTGCCCTTCTCTTTCTCTAGCCTGCTTTGTTCTCAGCTGTTTGGTTTTGCCATAGGACCCATAAGGGGCTGTATGTTTCATGCTACACTAGCTCTAAATGAAATAACAATGTTAATTACAATGCCATTTAGAAAACTGCATATTCATCTATTTATTCCCAGGTAACACTCAGTAACCTTTATATTTTCTACCCAATGCAGCTTCTTGCTCTGAGATGAAAAAATGGTTTCCAGCTTTACTTGTGTTACAGATTTTACTATTTCTTATTTAGGTTTTTTAATGCTTTTTTTTTCTATGTTATGTGTTTTCTCCAGTTGAACTTCAACAAGCACATTTCTAGTCTTCTATTAAATTTTAACTCAAAGATACACTGAAAATCTCTTTGTTAATTAGCAGGCTTTTTAAGATCACAGATTAAGAGCAGAATGCTGATGTTGCTTAAACTTCTATTACACGTAGATAATACTACATTTGGATTCACTTACTTCTCTCTGTCTAAAATCAAGATTCTTGCCCTGTCAGTATGTAGGTCTTTATGAGGCTTTGCTTGGATTTTGCATTGTGGAACTGGATGTTTGAATTGCCTCTGCAAGAGCAAGCAGCACAACAGATCTGCAGCAAGGAGCAGGCACTAGTGAGTGCCACTATGTCTTGGGCCACTGAAGACAGTGAGTCAAATTTTGGTCTAAGTTAAGGACACATATAATGGGTTTTGCAATCCTCTGCATCAGAGCTAACATTTGGCTTCCTGAAGAAATTGTATTCTATTACCCATAAGACATGATGGATGGAATCCTGACCCCATCAAAGTTGATGGCAAAACTCCAACTGGCTTTGATGGAGCCTGAATTTATTCTCACACAGTGAATCCTGAACAGACTTTTTTGGCACGTGATAAAAGAGGAACTTTAGTATTAACCATTATTACAGTCAGTACTTTTGGCAGGGCAGTCATGAGCATCACTGTCAGATGTCAGTGCATGTCTAGGAACAGGGGTGTGGATGCAATGGGCTCTCACAGGGAATGCCCTGCCCTGGGATTTGGTGATGCAAGACTCCCAGATCAACACTGCCTCTTAACAGATGTAGCATATGAAAAAAGCCCACTCCTTGTCTTCAAAATTTTGGTATATTGTTTTTTAAGGACTCGTCACTTTGACTACACTGAAGCAGTCTCCAGCTTTAGAAAGCAGACCTCCTTTAGAAAGCCTGAAGGATGAGGAAACGGCTGTGTCCCTTGATCTAAGCTATACTAGCAAAAAATTGAGGATTGTCAAAATTACTAGCAAAGCCTAAGTCTGTTAGTCAGCTGTATAAACTCTTTTAAAGGCACTGCTGGTGGGAAGGAAAAAAAAAAAAAAAAAAAAAAAAAAAGTAAAGCACTGTTCCTAAGTTCAACAGAATAATTTTACTTAAGAAAAGATGGCCAAGTTTTTTACTTATCTCTCTACCATAAACCAGCTTTAGTAATTTTCAGATATAAATGTAGTCTCTAGCAAGTAAAAATAATTGCAGCCTTTTGTAAAATGAAAAGTCCAAATTAAATAACTGTATTTGGTTTGTGTGGCCAGTTTTTGGCAGCAGGGGAGCTACAAGGGTGGCTTCTGTGAGAAGCTGCTAGAAGCTTTTCCCATGTCCAGCAGAGCCAATGGCAGACAGCTTCACGATGGACTCACCAGTGGCCAAGGCTGCACCAACCAGAAATGGTGACAATGCCTCTGGGATAACATATTTTAAAAGGGAAAAAACTCCATATTGTGCAGTTGTAATTGCTGCCAGGGAAGAAAGGAGTGAGAATATGTGAGAGGAACAGCCCTGCAGACACCAAGGTCAGTGGAGAAGAAGGAACAGGAGGTGCTCCAGACATTGGAGCTGAGGTTCCCCTGCAGCCATGGTGCAGCCCATGGTGAAGCAGCTGTGTCCCTGCAGCCCATGGACATCCAGGGGGATGCAGAGGTCCACCTGTAATCCCCCACAGAGCAGGTGGGTGCCTCAGAGGAAGCTGTGAACCTGCAGGAGGCCCTTGCTGGAGCAGGCTCCTGGCAGGGATCTGCACACCCATGGAAAGAGGAGCCCATACTGGAGCAGGTTTCCTGGTAGGACTTGTGATCCTGTGGGGACCCACACTAGTGCAGGCTGTGCCTGAATGACTGCACCCCATGAAAAGGTACCCATGGTGCAGGAGTTCATGAAGAACTGTAGCCCATGGGATGGACTCACATTGGAGAAGTTCACATAGAACTGTTTCCCATGGGAGGAACCCACTCTGGAGCAGGGGGAGGACTCTTCTCCCTGAGCAGTAACAGAAACAACCTGTAATGAACTGACCACAGCCCCCATTCCCTGTCTCCCTGTGCCAGTGGGAGAGTGCAGGTAGAACCCAGGAAGAAGGGAGAGGTAGGGGAAAGGTGTTTTTAAGATTTGCCTTACTTCTTATTATCCTGCTTTGATTTTGATTCATAAGAAATTCAATTAATATCCCTGAACTGAGTCTGTTTTGCCCATGATAGCAATTTGTGAGTGATCTCTCCCTGTCCTTCTATCAACGCATGAGCCTTCCATTATATTTTCTCTCCCTGTCCAGTTGCAGAGGGGAGTGCTAGAGCAACTTTTTGTCTGGCATCCACCCACCACAATAACACAAGTGAAAACTATACAGCAAGGTGATGCAGATGGGTACAATCTTGGATTCCAACTCTCACCAACATCTGAGCAGAAATATCTTTGGCTTTCCGAGACCTTCTCTATGAGGATGAGGAATACTTGTGATATGGAAATACAAGATGTTGATTTATAGGCTCTCTGATATAGCTGACAGCAGGACAGCTGGATTCTGAGCAGGAGCTCCCTATCTTGACACAAGTTTGTAAATAACAGCAACATAGTCACATTTGTTCCTGTGTAAAATCAGAATAAAATGAATAAAATAAAATTAATGAAATTAAAAAAAAATCAGAATTGTTTGATATGGCATTGGGAAAATTCTATATAAACATAAGGCAGTATAACCCCTCAAAGTCTTCTACCTCCTAGCCTCTTACCTGTTCTCTAAAATTCTTGACATTTTTAAATCACCATGACTTTCATGTCTTTTCACTATTTCAGGTATAAGTTTTGTGACCACAATATTTTAGATTGTGTGTGTACACACATTTATTTTCTTACCATTGATTTACCATTTCTGTTTTACACACAGGCACATTTAGTATGCTGTGTGATATTCTACATGATGAAATTAGAAATCAAATATTTTGTCATCTTCTAAAAAATCGTGGATATGCTTTAAAATTCTTTATGATTCCACAAAAACCTGGCATTAATTTTATTGTAATATTCAATTTCACTAGCATATTGCTATAGTATTAATTGCTCTTGTGTTGAAATAGTTTCCATTAACACAATGCTCAAAATAAACATCTAGAAAGCAGTCATTTAAAATACAAGACTACTTCATTCTTCTGATAATAAATGTGACACTTGCCTAAAAGAGAAAGAATGATTTCCTACAAGCTATTTCAATAGGAGTTAGCTTTAATGTGATGTGCAATTTTTCTACTTTATTTTTTTCTCAGTTTTTTTTTTCTTTCAATAAATAATTGAAGGTTGCAAATCTTAGACTTTGAAAAATTTTACCTAAAAAGATGATTTTGCAGTTAGACACTACAGACAAATAACTAAAGGCATGTGGAAGATTAATTAATCAAGAAAGGTTTGTGGGGAATCATAATCAAGTGGTTAAGAATGAAGCAGTCTGATGTAGAAAAAGCCTGTGCATAGCAGGTTCTTCTGTTCAGATTTCACATGGGTAGACCATGGGGCTTCCCTCAGATAACTGAGTATTGAGATCAGTTTCAAGCCATGCCTGGAGGCAGCTTGAAGCAAACACCATGGTCTGGCCAGCACTGCTTCCTCACTGCTACCACTTCTCTTACTTCAACAGTTCCATTGTGCTCCAACTTCGAAACCAATTAATAATACTTTTTCTTCAAAAGAAGGGCTATGCTTTCCACAGACACTTTAAATTATAAAAGGTCTGAAAGTGAAGATCCTTTCAACTGAAATTAAATTGTGGATTCTGATAATGTGACCAAAGAACAATATATTTGCACTTTTATTTTGCTATTTAATTTGCCTCCCAGTGGAGGTGGAAATTTTTTCAAGATGTGGTGTGCACTTTTGTTGTTTGGGATTTCTCTGCTAGCTCCTGAAACACTTTCTGCCACAGTACATCCCTGGAAAAGGTCATATGGAACATATTTCAGCATGGGTTTTGTAAATAAGCTTGTCAAAAGAAAACCTGGTCTGTGGCACTCATGAAAGAAACCTTCCCCAGCTCTGACTGAAAGGAAGGAGAACAGGAAGTCCTACAATGTTTCAGTTGCTAGGGGCATCGTGTACTTCCATTTATTCAGAGTTCCAAGGCAGGCAGAGGGTTCTCCCAGAGGCTCTAGGTGGTACTGTCCAAAGCCATCAGGCAGAAGAAGCTGGGAAAGCATCTTAGACTGAAACCCTGGGGCTCCCGGTCCAAGCACCCATCCCCTCAGGCACAACTCTGTCTGTATGTGGGATTTCTGCTCATCCTCTCCTTGCCGGGCCAGCGCTGGGCCAGAGACAGCTGCCTGTTGCCTTTGGGATTTTGCTGCTTGTGCTGCTTGCTTTGGTTTGTCTTGCCCCTCTGGCTGAGGAGATGGAGAGGAAGGAGAGTGGAATTGTCTGGGTCACAGCAGCTCTCACACAGCTCTTCCATTTTAAAGTTTTAATTAAGAATATAAAGGGTATCTCCTGTTACACTTAAGGCAGCACCAGTGGAGCAGAGGTATCATTATATCATATTAAGGAAAAATTTGTTCCCCTGCTATGAACTCAACTGCAGTGGCTTACGAAAAGCAACAGCAGGAGTAGGCAAGTATTTCATTAGGGTAATATTAAATTCTTCAGAAAGAAAACAGATCTTTTTTTAAAAGAAGATGATGTATGAAAATTAACATATGGCAAGAAGCCAGAAATTTTAATTTCTCAGGAAAGCTTTCTCTTTTTTTTTTTTTTTTTTTTTTTTTTCCCCTCCAAGAAACTTAATTTGCGGATATTAGCTTTCTTTGGTTTGTCTTGGACAAAAATAAAAGTCTTTATTTTCACAAGATGTATCCAAGGGAATTTCTCACAGATCATAGCAAAGGTATATTTTTTTGCCTTTTCTTCAGACTTTCAGGGTTTCCAATAGGTGTGCTTACTCAAAAGTGTATGAAAATTGTCTAGATGCTATGACACCGAGGCTCCTCTCCCTGCACCTTTTTCTGCTACTCAGGAATCAGCACAGGATAGATGCTTGTGCAGGAGGGAGGAGAGACAGGAATTGCTTTCCCTGCGGCATTTGCTGCCACCTTGATTCTGGATCCACAAACATAATGGTCCTCTGACCAAGCATCTCTCAGACACATTATAGCCATTTTTCGAGTTTACAAACCACAGCTTCCTGCAAATGATTGTCTGCTGTAATCAAAGCTAATTGGAGTGCCAATTACAGCCCAGCTAGCATAATTGGGTTACCAGTTCTGATGAGTCATCAAGCGACAGAAAAACGTGATGTGCATAATTCTCACAGATTTCCCTGTCTATAACAAGGTGTTTTTCATGAGGAACAGCAGCTCTTTCTGTAGCACAGCTGAGGCAGAGCCCGTGAGCAGGCTGTGTTCATGTGCAGCAGAGCTGACTCAGCAGCAGTGTCCTGGGAGCCGCAAGCCAATTAAGTGCTCATTAAGGTCATCAGCCCTCTCTTTGCACGCTGACAGAACTCAAGAAAAACTACTGCTTTTCTTGAGTTCTGTGGCAATAACAAAGCCCAAAGTTCCTGGCTACCAACAAGTTTAAAAGCAGGAGCAGGGGACATGACCCCCTGAGTGTCTGACATGCCAGTGCGACAGCACTAAGTTGTAGATGAAATGACTGAAGGCAGGACAGAGAGGAAAATTCCTGCAGCAATCCATCTAGGAATGCCATGGAGGAAATACTGAACTAAATATTGTGAATCAGTCTGGAAGCAGCTAGTGAGTACTTTCACACTCCCTGCTTCTAAATGTGACTGTGGGAGTAGCTGGCAGAGAAGCAATGGGGGAAAAAAACCAGCAAGGGAAACATCACATTTCCTACTCATCATCAGCCATTTGCTATTGTCCCCAGTATCCTCCAAGTTACTGGAGATGAAGAGCTATCTTTAATAGTGCACATATAATATAAATTTGCTGAACAGGTTTACAAAACAAGAACAAATATTTAGGGGAATTAAGATCTTTTAATAGTCTAGTCAGTAGAATTGGGAAAAAATATATTATGTACTTTTTGGTGTACATGTAGCATATTTTGGACTAATGAAAAAATACCACCTTGAGCTACAAAGCCTGCCTTCTCTTTGTTCATAGGCAATCACAACAGCTATTTTTTTACAGATGGGAAAAGTGACATACAGAGATTTCAATAGTACAGTCTTCTACCACTGCTGATGACTGTGCTAAAGAGCATCAAAAATTCCTCACATTTACAAGATTATCACTTTGACTGTAACCAAGTCATCACAGAAGGCACTAAAAAGCAAGTGAGCAGGACAGCAGCTCAGCATCAGAGGGGAACAGGAAATAGCACTTGTTAGCACCTTGCATCCCAGTTAATCAAAGCAGTTTACAAACTTTACTGATATTCAGCCTCACCACAAATCTGTCAGGCAGGGAAATATTAAAAACAGGGCCACAGGCACACTAACAAGCACTGACAGAGTTAACAGTACTGCTCTGCTAGTTGATACCCATTCCCAGATTTAACCACTAATACAGTTTGGATGCTGCAGCGACCAGCAGAGCTTTCTAAACATTCACATGTACAGTGATGATCTGAGCAGCAAGTGAAATAGGCTTGAACATAGCTATTCCTCTCCTGCTGGAAGAACTTCATGGAGAAGCCTTACACAGACATGGCTGAAACTTGCAGACCAGCTGGCTGCCTAATGCCTTAGTCCTGAGCCAACTTCTTCTCCCAAAACCTATTTACTAGGGGACAACACAGATGCACCACAGCTGGACCACCATCTCTGAGTTGTTCTCAAACCACTGGATTCTGATTATGTTTACAGCATTACATCTGCAGCCATTAATTCGAATACTGTATTTCCATTAAAACACATATTCGAGTATTTGTCAAACTACTTTTCAATTATTTGGCTGCACCTTTCATCTCGTGCCTGTAACAGGAAGCTCAGAAGACCGACTGTGCTCTTCAGGCTGCAAGACCGTGGCTATCCAAGACACAGATAAGCCAGACCACAGACAGACCAGTGCTGGGCCCTTGGAAGTGCACTAAGCTTGTTAATACTGCTACTCATCTGTGCACTGAGGACACCATTCACTGTGGTGCCCTGGGCACGTTTTCTGAAGACGTCCACAGGGCTGAAAATCAGACAAGAACTCACCTGGTGCTGACTGTGGGCTGATAAGTAATTCACCTTACTGAATGTCTATGACTTTTTGACATCCATGATGACTGACTTATTTTTCAAAGCAGAACTCACTTGACAACAGTTACTGCTCTCTGCATAGGTACAATGCTATTTCCATTACCACATTTGTTATAAAATGGAGTAGAATTGAGAAGGTCTGGTAGTGTATAACTGTGTAATTACTGTTAATAGATACTACTTGCACTAATTCACATCGTGCCTCACAATCTGGTAGTGGGGGGAAAATAGCTTGTGGCTTCAGACAGCATAGTAATTTTTGTTAATACCACAAATCAAATGCAGTTAAATGACATTCTCTTGGGCACTGCCTGGCTGCTAGGCTTGCTGCAAGACTTTTTCTCCTGCACAGCAATGAATCACTGATGCTGACAATTTGCTCAAGAGCAGCCCTTTATTGCAAATGCAGAAAATATTTCTGAATTACTTCTAGGGTTTTGCAATTTCACATATTTCAATATCTCAGCCAAATATATTTGCCTTGAACTCTATTTTTCTATTGCTTTAATATTATGAAAACAATTACATAGTTAAAAACCCAAAACCAAAACAGGGATGATAAATACTTACCACTTGGCTTATATCGTATCCCCAAGGAAGAAAAAGAACTCCTGTGTTATATTTCTCCCAGTGTGAACACATGAAGTTAAACAAGACAATGCTTAAATATATATACATTGTATATACAGAAACTCCAGTCTTCCCATTGTCACGGGAACAGACAGAAAAAAAAGAAAGCACAAAAATGGAGGTAGCCCAGCTGTCCAGCCCATGGTCAAACAGTTCTCCCAGAGGAGTACTGGACTGAGTTCTTCGAGCATGTTTCCCATCTATGGAGTCTAGAAAGATTGAGAAAAGAAAAGAAATAAAGAATTAGAGCACAACAAAGGCAGTAGCTTTCTTCACATACAATTCACTACTGCCATATAGAACATACAGGAAAATTACACTGCTGACAGCAAACTGAAGCACGACAGCCCCCTCAATACCAACGGATTAGAACTGCTCAGATATCAAGTAATGTTTCTGTCCTTACCTCAGCTCTGAAAATAAATGCCACCTTCCTCATGAGTTTTAGAAAGACACTCATAATTACTTGCCCCCAGTGGTCTTGAAACATTTTTACATCAGTCCCTGCAATTAGTTTCAAGTGCTGAAAAGTGTCCATAGAGCTTCTTGCCCATCCATTGGTGCTGTGGACCCTCTGAGCCTTCAGACCTGTTGTGGGGTGGATTCACTAAGGCATTTAAGTTCCTTGATGCTCAATATCTCAATGACTAACAGTTACATGGCAGCTTAAAGGAGCAAATTTCACAAAATGTATTTGTATTTGTGCCTACATATATTTTAAAGTGTTTTCAGTTTTTATACAAGAGTGTGTTCAGATGGCCAAAAAGGCCAATGGCATCCTGGCCTGTATCAGAAATAGTGTGGCCAGCAGGACCAGGGCAGTGATTGTCTCCCTGCACTCAGCACTGGTGGGGTCACATCTTTAATCCCATGTTCAGTTCAGTTCAGTTCCTCACTACAAGAAGGACATTGAGGTGCTGGAGCGTGTCCAGAGAATGGCAACAGAGCTGGTGAAGGGTTTGGAGCACAGGTGTGATGAGGGGTATCTGAGAGACCTGGGGTGGTTTAGCCAGGAGAAAAGGAGGCTCAGGAGTGACCTTATCACTCTCCACAACCACCTGGAAGATGGTTTTAGTGAGATGGGGATCGGTCTCTTCTCCCAGGATACAAGAAGAAACGGTCCCAGGTCACACCAGGGGAGGTTACATTGGACATTAGGAAAAATTTCTACACAATGACACTTGTCAAGCATTGGAACAGGCTGCTCAGGTAAGTGGTGGAGTCATCACTGCTGGAAGTATTTAAAAGGTGTGCAGATGTGGCACTTGGGAACAAGGTTTAGTGTTCTAAACTTGTCATTGCTGGGTTAATGGTTGTGCTTGACGACCTTAAAGGTCTTTTCCAGCATGTATGATTATATGATTCTAGGAATGCATTATAGTTAAGGTGCATTACATGTTGATCACTTTTAGTACTTGAGTGCTTAAAAAATGATCCAGCACTGTACAGGATCTTACTCTGAAGATGTAGTTGGACAATGTGGTTTGAGTTGATCTGATAGTTCACTGCTGTTGAACAGGGTGACCTGCAGCCCATTCAGCTGGTGGAAAGACAGCAAACATTATGTTTTCTTCTGGATCACTGAATTTGTACTGTGAATGGTACAAAATGCAAGGGAGATGGCACAAGGGAGGGATGGTGAACACAGAGAGGAAAAAGGTGGTCTAGCAGCTGTAATGTTTCTTAGTTGTAATGTCAAACCATACCCTTAGTCACTTTTCTGAGACTGTGCAGGTGAAAAATAGAACTATTTTCCTCTTAAAATTAAGCATAAACATGCAGGATGAACCTGTTAGGAAAAAGTACACAGAACAAACCCTACAGATTACTTGGTTTTGTCTTGAATGTCAAAATAAAATGGAGATGCTTTTCTTTTTTATATTACTTGGAAGGTAAAATGGAGATGCTTTTCTTTTTTATATTACTTGGAAGGTGCTATGGTTAACAATTATTAGCTATTGATAGCATTAATTACCTAAAACTGACAAGAAACACAACTCAGCAGAGTGAGACCAAAGACACCACAGCTGCTGTAGATCATATGCTACTTACTTCTCTGGATTATTTGGCAGTACTGTGAGTTTTGTTTAATGTAAATATACTTCAGGGACCTAAACCAGGAAAAGATGGGATTTCATTTTGTACAGATTTTAGACTATATCTCTATTGTAATATCTAAACAGCTGTGATATATCCTCTGCTCAAACACAAATCTCTTGGGACATTTCTCAGAACTCTAAAACTTAAATATCTCATGGAGGATTTCAAATATAGCTAGCCTCCTTCTAGAGACTCATTCTCTATTAACATTTCCATAGAATTTTCAGCATCTTACTGAAATGTGCCAAAAGAAAACTGTATAAGCTTGAGGTTACTTTAAAGGTTTTGCAATAAAATTAGAAATTCTTCCATCCATTGGACAATATCTCTGAAACCTAACGAGCAAATAAAGATATAAGCAATCCTAAAGAGTTTGCGGTGTTTTATATTCCAAGAACACTTATCCAAAATCAGATAGGATTCAGTTACACAGGTGTTACTATTTAAAAATAAGAATTTTAGAACATTTGTCTGTTTATAAATCTGACATTGTCACACAAGTATATAGATACTAAAATATGTACCTCACAGTGAAAAGTGGTTTTCATTTTGCAAGAACTTGGTTTTTCTACAAAGACACTTATAATATTGTTCTAAAATACAGTACTTCTAATTATACTGGTCATGGAAAAAATACAGGAACTCTATGACACATACATCAAACTGGATTTTCAGAAATCCTTAACCACATTTTCCATGCAGTTTCATTAGCTTTTTAAAAGACTGGAAATATTTTCTGGTTTAGGTTCCAGTTTGAAATCATTCATGCCAACAATGATGTGTTTTCATTGGTTAACATACACTGTCTCACACTTCCATTGCTTTAGAATTCTTATATTATGATTTTGTCTCAAAAATATTCATAAATACTCCATTTTATAAAGTTTATATAAATTTTAAAGAGTGGGATTCAAAGTAACAGCAAAAAGCACTCAATTTCATGAGAAGGAAATGATACTAAACCACCTAAAAAAAGCAGGAGGAATGGAGAGCAGCATGTTAGGGAAATTGGAGAGAGTAACTGTGTCATTAAAATAAGCTGAGAAAGATTACAGTTGCATATTTAGTTAGTTAGTATGGTTCTTTGCAGTCTTCCAGAGGGAAAACTTTGGCCATGCAAAATTAAATCTCCGACTAAATATTTCATGAAGTGGTTTGGACAGCAGACATAAAAATCTACATATATATTAGTTCATTATAGCTTTGACTGTCAACATCATATTCCTTGTCTTCCAAGTATTAGGAACTACAAGCTTCACTGGAAAAAAACCTCTACATTAAAAATCTCAGAAGCTGAACTTCCCATGAGCCTTCTGGGGTGCCATACAGTAACAGTTCCAATATGTAATTCCAATTCATGAAGGAATAGTCACTTCATTAAATTCCACACAATGACATAAAAAATGGTTTTCACAAAAGAAACCACTGCTTCTGAGTGCAGAGAGCTGCTAGAGAAATCTGAGTAGTAGCCACCTTCAAGGGATTGTTGTCCCATTGCTTTTTATGGTACAAATACAAAGAAATTCTGGACAAAAAGATTTTGGCACAATCTCATCAACTGAATAGAAATGCCAAGGTATGTAGAATGCAGAGGGAGAGATCTGCTCAAGGGGATACCCCAGCTTGATCATGATGGCTCTGCATGCATTGGTCTGATTCCAAAAGTGGTCAGCCCCTCTGCACAGCACTGCAGCCTACACATTATATATATATATATATATATATATATATATATATATATATATATATTACACATCTGTATATAGCCTGAGGATCTCAAATATGGCACACAAATATATGGCTACACTGCAATGGCCTTACCACAAACAGCTCCAAGGAGAGGGTACCTTTAGAATCAATTAAGGTTGAAAAAGACCTCCAAGATCATTGAGTACAATCTCTGACTGAATACTACCATGTCAACTAAATTATAATGCTAAGTGCCATGTCCAATAGTTTCTTGAACACTTTCCAGGGATGGTGATCCCACCACCTTCTTGGGAAGCCCATTCCAAGGCTTAACCACCCCTTCAGAGAAAAATTTCTTCCTGATGTCAGAGGAACCTCTCCTGGCACAGCTTGAGGTTATTTCCTTTTGTCCTGTTGATTGTTTTCTGGGAGAAGGGACTGACCCCACCTTGCTACAGCCTCCTTTCAGGTGGCTGTAGAGAGCAAAAAGGCCATCCCTGAGCCTCCTTTTCTCCAGACTTATTATCCTCAGCTCCTTCAGCTGCTCCTTGTAAGATTTGTGTTCCAGACCCTTCACCACCTCTGTTGCCCTTCTCTGCACGTCCCAGCACCTCAACGTCCTTCTTGTAGTGAAGAGCCCAGAACTGAACACAGGATTCACAGTGTGGCCTCACCAGTGCTGAGCACAGAGGGATGATCACTGCTGATCCTGCTGGCCACACTCTTTCTGATACAGGCCAGGATGCCATTGGTATTTCAGCCACAGTCAACCACCACCCCAGGACCTCTTCCACTTTCCAGCCACTCTTCCCCCAGCCTGTGGCACTGCCTGGGGTTGCTGTGACCAAAGTGCAGGACCCAACACCTGGCCTTGCTGAACCTCACACCACTGGCCTCAGCCCATTGATCCAGCCTGTCCAGATCCCCATGCAGAGCCTCCCTGCCCTCCAGCAGGTCAACACTCCCACCCAACTTGCTGTCATCTGCAAACTCACTGAGAGTGGACTCAATCCCCTCACCCAAATTATTGATAAAGATATTAAACAGGTCTGATCCCCTGGCTGTCCTGTGTGTGCTGCATAATGACACTAAAGATGATCTGCTCCATAACCTTCCCAGACACTGAGGTCAGGCTGACAGGCCTGTAGTTCCCCAGATCCTCCTTCCAACCCTTCTTGCAGGTGGGCATCGCACTGGCCAGCTCTCCAGTTCTCTGGAGCCCCCCTGGTTGACCAGGACTGGTGACAAATGCTGGAGAGTGGCCTGGCTCTTCCGCCAGCTCCCTCAGTACCCTGGTGTGGATCCCATCTGGCCCCACAGACTGGTGAGTGTCAGCTGGCACAGCAGGACACTGGCTGCTCCCTCCGGGATCACAGCAGGCACTGGCTGCTCCCTCCTGGATCACAGGGGCTCAGTTCTGCTCCCTGTCCCTGCCTACCAGCTCAGCAGGCCGGCTGCCTTGAGGATATTGGGTCTTCCTGTTGAAGACTGAGGCAAGAAGGCATCAAGTACCTCAGCCTTTTCCTCATCTTTGGTTACAGTGTTCCCCCTTGCACCCAATAAAGGATGAAGATTTTCCTTGGCCCTCTTTTTGTTGTTAATGTATTTATAAAAACACTTTGTATTAGCTTTCACAGTGGTGACAACATGGAGTTCTAGCTGAGCTTTCACCAATCCAGTTTTCTCTCTACAAAGACCAATGACCTGGTACTCTTCTTGATTGTCTGCCCCTACTTCCCAAGTTTATAAACTCTCTTTTTCTCTCCCCAAATTCCAGCGAAAGCCCTCTATTCAGCCAGGCCAGTCGTCTTCCCAGATGGTTCATCCTTCGTCATCTAGAATAGGATAGTTCATTCCAGATGGTTCTTCCTTCGTCATCTAGGATAGCCTGCTCCTGTGCCTATAAGATTTCCTTCTTTAAATGTATCCAACCTTCCTGGGCCCTTATTACACAGAACTGTGCAGCTCTAAATATACTACCTTTAGTCTCCCCAGAAAATAACTCTGTTGCACCGTGCTGTGGAAAGTCTAGTTTGGAATGAGAGAGCTTTGGAAGAGAAAGCAAAAAAGGCACACTAACGTGGATCTCACTCCCAGGTCAGCATCATTTCAGGTCTGTCTTCACACCACTGCACAGCAAGGTGCAGCATACCTAAAAATACACTCATGGCACAGAATGAAGTAGTAAAAATGGAATATGAAAGTGAGGTGTAGGTGTTATGGGAGAAAAACAGCAAGAGGAAAGAAAAAAATATATACTTATTTCCATAAGAAGCTCAGGCCTGTCATCATATCTGTCATCATCACCTCTCCTGACACACACTTTAAGCACTGAAGTGCCTAACAATTCCCTTTTTTCTGCTTTGTCTTTTATTTTTCCTATCTCTTTGAAAGCACCCTCTGCTAATTCTGATGTCTCAGCTTCTCAGAATGTCATCATCAAGGACAAAGATTTTTATGAAACTAAACAGCAGTGACTCTCCTATGAAGAATGCTGAGAGAGTTGGGGTTGTTCAGCCTGGAGAAGAGAAAGCTCCAGGGAGTCCTCAGAGCAGCCTTCCAGTACCTAAAGGGGATACAGGAGAGCTGGAGAGGGACTTTTGCCGAGGGCATGTAGGGATAGGACAAGGGGGAATGGGTTCACTGAAAGAAGGTAGGTTTAGATTAGGTATTAGCAAGAAAATCTTTACTGTGAGGATGGTGAGGCACTGGATTGGGTTGCCTGGAGAAGCTGGAAATGTTCAATCCCTGGAAGTGCTCAAGGCCAGGTTGGATGGGGCTCTGGGCAACCTGATCTAGTGGAAGGTGTCCCTGCCCATGGCAGGGGGGTTGGAACCAGACTGCTGCTATATAATGATTTCCATTGTTCCTCTAAAATAATTTGAACATTCAAGGGGGATAAGAGTTACTGTTATAGAGCCTCTAATATATTACTTTACATACTGTTTTGGGTTTAAGTCTGATAAACTTTTTTTTTTTTTTTTTTTGAGGTTTGGGGCTTTTTTGGGGTTTGTTTGTTTTTGTGGGTTTTTTTCCTTTTTTTAAATCTAAGAGACCTTCTTTTGGAAAGAAGTCAGTAACTTATCCACAATGCCTCTTTATCTCAGAATCATCAATAGTAAATTTGAAGATAAAATCACATGAAAATGTCAGACATGCAAATTATTTCACTGTACATTACCTAAAGCATAAGCACAAAAGGTGGTAAAAGCACTGAACAGCCACACCCAGGTGGGAACAAGTCCAGGACTGGTACCTGAAAAAAAATGGGGTAGTGAGTCAGTGTAACAGGGGTTAACATCAAAGAAATCCACCAAGATATGCACACAGATACAAACTAGCTGCCACTGATTAACACACTGCATCAAACAGATCGAAATATTTGAGTCTGATCTTCAGGCACTATCAAAGAAGCACTGAGCAGGCTTGAATGTGTTTCCACCATAAAGGACAAAAGGTAACAGAGAGGTTTTTTGATCCTGAAATGACTCTAGTATTGCACAAAACCATGATAGCAACTAGGCAAAAGTCTTCACAGGTCATGGAAAGACTATCCATTGAAAAATTAGTTAATGTTCATGTAATATATAGGAAAAAAAGAAGTTTTCAAGCATTATTATCAGTACCAGTCTGGGGTTTGTGTAGCACTCTTACCACACAGATCTGAGCAGGAAGCTTTTGTCCTTAGGCTAGCAGAAATAGTAGCACCCCTTTTTTTTCCCATGAGAAAAAGGAAAAGACAGTTTAATTGGACAGAGCCCAGAGTTCTGTTCTTGCTCTGCTGACAGCATTAATCCAAGGTTACTGTTGCTCCTTTAAAGAAATTGATCCTTTTTCCAAAGAGACTTCTATTTAACTTAAACATCACCCAATACTACAGCAACACTAAACAACTGTAAATGCAAAGTCCCCTCAGGTTTCTGCCATTTGGCAGCAAACACAGGGAGTTCCTGCATACAGGGGTGTGTCCTTGCCTGAATGATGCCAGGAGATGCCAGCACCTAAAGCAGTGCCCTGACTACCTTTCTCTCAGTGCCTCATCTTGCCATTCTGAAAGCAAAGATGACAATTCCTGACTCCTAGCTGCAAATCTGCGAACTGTACCATGAAAACCAACTGTGCAGGAAATTAGGTTTTTTATTTCTGATCCTAGGTATAGGATTGATATATCATAGCCAAAGGCCCTTTAGGTTGCATGAAAGTTTTCCATCAACTGAGAAATGATGGGGACTGTTCTCATGTGGACTCAGGAAGAGTTTGCAAACTACACATACAGGTCTCAACTCTAACAACCTTAATCACCATTTCAAATATCTTCAAGTTCCGTGTATATCTACCGAGAATGTGCCAAGATAACATCATCCCATTAAAAAGATCTGTTCTGGATGCTCTTTTATTACAGGGCTGAGTAAACATCATCTGCATTGATAAAAAAAAAGCACCAGGTGTTCAAGAATGAGGTCAGACAACTATATAACAAGCTGGTCCTGAAAATGTAATTTCTGAACCAAAACTGCTAACAAGTATCCCTGCTTCTAGAATTGCTATGCTAAATGTACAACTCACACCAAAGGGTACCTCCTGAGGCTAACCACAGGCATAACAAAATAAAGGCAGCTAAATGCAGTTGTTTCAGGAAATAAAAGTGTTATCTTCACTGAATTGTCTAGTTTAAAGAAAATCAAAGCCTTTTATCAATATATATTTTACACATTAATCACCTGGAAAATTCTTACTACCTTCTGTGGGCTCCAACAGCTGGTCTGAGAACCCCAAAGCAAACATGCCCTATGCTCAGGAGCAATCAGATCCAAAAAAATTCTGACTTGGTCTTCAGTGAGGAGCAAACATGGACTTGGACTTCAAAAGTCACAATTTGAAGAGATATTTATTTAGAAACTATGTTTTTGTCTAGAAGCAGTCTTGAATAGGGGGTGTGAATATGTGGAGAAATGAAAAGAAAGTTAACTCCTTCAGGCATTGGTTTAGGTATTAGGAAATATGAAGTCAATGAAAATGTTATGAAGAATATTCAAATTGATTTCTGCTGTGTATTTAAACCCTGGAATAAACTTTAAATATAATGAGATCATCCCAGAGACTTCAAGCAGCATATGCTGAAACCCATTTTAGGGACAAAATTAAATGAGATTTTTCAATAAAATTATTTAAATTTATAATGCTATGTGTGAGGTAGATTCTCCTACCTGTGCCTACAGGAGCCCTATTAAAGGAATAAGTGGAAGATGTAAGGGTCTGATACCTCCCTGTAACATTCAGAAGTATAAGCAGTTCAGTGACTCTGAAAAATTACAATGTGAACATGTTTACCTGAGGCAGTGTAGTCCCAGTCATAAAAAGATATTAGAAAATAATTAAATAAAATCATGACAAATCCAGAGAATGTTAACAGGTTGGGAGCAATCCACAAAGGCACTATCTGTTAAAAAATGAAAGGAAAAAAAAATCAGAAAAAATTATATTTCAAATTGTACATCTTATTTTAATAAAATATTTTATATCAGGAAATAAGCTTTTATATGACAACAGCAACATTCAGATTTGTGTATATTTCCCCATTTCAAATCAAAATACAGTGTTATTTTCTGAAATTTATTTTCAAATGCAATTCTTTTGCCTGATTTCTGTGACTGCAGTAAGAATGATATTTTTAAAACATGGTACTCCTTTTAAAATGTTGTACATTATCCTCATTTACCCAGCTCCCAAGGAAAGCCTTCTGTGATAGAAGACTGAAAGAAGACTGCAGCACCCCAGTGTGGTAATTCAGCATCCACGTGGCAGGTTTTTTAAGCATTGCATTCCCACACTATAACAAGGAAAGCTCTTCTTCCAAAGTATGTGAATAATTTCTCACTCAAAACATCAACTAAATCAGACCCTGAGTGCATTACACTTTTAGATTCAGAACATCTCCCCGTTACAAGCATCTCCCTACTCTCTAGATAGTAACTTTCTGACAGATTCTCTCTCTTTATTCATCAATTATTAACACTCCATTAATTCATTTTACTTTGGAGGGCACTGAAAAGGACTCTCTTCCTTCTCCTAAACCTCTTTGTCCCAGTAATCATTCTCAGGCATTCGTTCCCTGTGGCTTTAAGGTGCTCCTTCCACTGCAAAAGGAATCCCTTCCGGAAATACTCTTCCCAAGTAACACAGTTTCTCCAGAATATTTTTTGAAATACCCTACACAGCTTTCTACATGATTTTTAGACAGAACACATTTGCAGAAATACTAAGTATCAACCATTACCATTACTCAAACACATTATCAATATATTTAAAACACAAAAATACTGGAGGTTTATAATTAAATTATTTGGAGTGTCTAAGGACTCAAAATGAATATAAAGTACATCAACACTATAGAATAGTACCAGAAAATATTAAAGAAAATCAAGTCAAATAATTCCTGATACTAACAGGAACAATATATTACAATAGTATACTATAACTATATTAACAATAGTTTGGAAATCAAATGTTTTGTTAATATCTCTGGACTAGCTAGCTGAACAGACACATGAATACATATTAATTTATCCTATCTTACTACTACATTTACTTAAATTTACTTTTAAAATATGAATGCTCTGACTGGTTAGCTGTCCTGACTACATTATGCTTTTCAACTATAGAGCAATTTGTAATATGCAGGAGAAATGAAACCAGTGGTATGCAGACTAAGTGTACACTTCCAAAAATCAGGTGAGAGTTCCTGAACACTTTTCCATTATGTTTCTTAGACGTTTTCTGTAATAACATTGGGAAAACAATTATATCTGATATTTGCTTTCCTTATCAGAAGGACTTTATCACTGATTTTAAAACACTGTATGACAGCTCTGGTTGTATTTAAATACACCATGGAATGCATACAGCAACAATTAAAAAAATTTAACATATCTATCATTCTGAGCGTTAAAAAGGGCAAATTGAAACCTCTAAGGAAAAGGACAGCAAATGTCCCCTGCAATTCCTTTTGGAGAGCATCTAAGGAGGAACCCTTCACTGCATGGTCTCCCTTTCTCACACTGACTGCATGCTCAGCATGCAGCATCAGCTGCACCTCTCCCACCTTTGCTACCTGAGGATGCAGAGGATGGATCTCCTGCTGGGGATTTATCTGGTACCTCTAACCTTCCAGGAAATAAGAAGCACAGACACTGAAAAAAAAAATCTAGATTTGTCTCTTTTAACCTAAATCATAAATCAAGAGTCCTTTAAGACACTATGGATGAAATGTTTACATGGATATACATGGATAAACTGACTGCTTTTTCCTGGATGATTCATAAGAATTGTTGACAATCAAATCAAGTGGGGCACCACAAACATCTGCTTTCTAATTAGGCTCATCATTTCTAAACAGTCACAATGTCATTTTTAAGTTATTACAGGAAATAATTCATGCTCCCCTGGCACGAACATGAAGTTATTTTAACCCACTTTCTTGCTAACTGTGTATTTTAAGATGGAAACTTTCAAAGATTTTTCAACTTGTTATAGTTGCAATCCTTTTGGCTAACAGACACACCATGAAAAACTGTTACAGGAGTTCTGCCCTCAGGAAAACAGACTCTCCTGCAGTTAAACCCTTAAGCATGTTCTTTTGATCCTTACTGAACCTAATCTGTCTAGGTATTTGGAAAGTATTCCAGTGGCAAAATCCCTTTTGTTATATTTAATGCTCCTTATCTTTTTAGTTGGCATTACACTACCATCACCCTATTTCATAATTAGAAAATCACAGGGTGTTCAAGATTAACTTCTTACACACCTTGGACAAATAGAGCCTGAATTTATTAGTATGCTATAGAAGGATGAGCTGCAATCTTTATAGCCTAATTAACAGACAGTGGAGGTCTAATACATCAATGTGCTACATGATTAATACAACTGGAGGTGCCATGGGGCAAATCACATCTGCTCTCTGGCAAAACCCTTGTGTGCTTGAACCTTTTAAAAAACTCTTAGTTCCACGAAGTATTAACTGATTTCTGTTTCTCTGGGTCTAGCCATTCATTCTAAAAGCCTTAATACAAACACCAAATGCTTTAATACAGCAACTATTTGGATAATAAATGGTAAAGTACACATTTATATAAAGCCCTGTTCAAACTTCACTAGGTCACTTGAGACCACTAAAATGCTGCTCTTGCCCAATTCTACTGATAAAATCAAAGTTCATAAAGGCAACAGAGGGGAGTTTAATTGATTTCAGTTATACTGGTATACACCTGTGTATTCCAGTGGGATTTCCTCCTTTTCCTCTCATTGTCCAGCATCCCCAGCAGAGATAAATGAGCTGGGTTATGACAATAGGCTTTCAGCTCAAAAATTCACAGATTTTTAATCTCAAACTCTTCTTAATTTCTTATAACACAGGAAGTACATTTTACAATGAATGGTAATGACTTATAACATAGGAAACACATCTTCCAATGAATCCTGCATTGTGGAATACAGAGAAACTTGTGTTGCCATTAGGATTAAACAGGCATATGAAAGGCAAGACCAGAATCTCAAGCCATTGTTCTCATGAGTTGTTTGGGGTTTGGGGTTTTTTTTTTGCTTGGCTCAGTGAATTTCAGGTTGCTTTTTTTAAACTCCTCTAGAATCTAATAAAAATAGTCCATGTGGAATTTTTATTGTCACCAGTTTAGAAAGTAAAACATAATTAATTAATATCTGAGAATGGATGTATCAGGATGTCTAAACTGAGTGAAGGAACTTGTCCCAGTCATCAAGATGCACACTTGTACTGCCCAAATTTGAATTAACATAGTAGATGCAAAACATTCTTTAAAAATTCTTTAAAAATTATCCTAATTTCCCTATTGCAATGCACTGTTCAGGAACAAAACCATTATAGCAACTTGCATTCCTACTGATATTTTACAAAAAATTATATTGTGACTAAGCTATATGAGAACATTCAATAATGTTCTTCTTCTGGTAAAATGCTGCAACTATTAGGAGAAAATACCTGCAGAGGAAGTTTTGCATTGACAACACTCCCCCTTCAATCTGATAGCAGATGAATACTCACCCATCTCCTAAACCAAAGGGCAAGTGCACAGGAAAGCCTCTACTCATCTCCCATGCCAGAGTGCTGGAGGGGCTTTTCTGCCTCATTGTTTCCCTCAATATTATGATGGGAATAAAAACAAAGTCTCTGAATTGAATTACTGAAGTCAGTGTCACATCTTTGAATTTCTTTTTTCTCATCCCATGTTCAAGTTGTATTTTAATTCTTCAGTTGGGTCATACAAACATTTTCCATGAAATTACTTTGAGGTTATGAATTAGAGATTAAGATTTTCCTGCCATATCAAGAATAATCAACACCTGAATTACAGAATCTAAAGATGGCAGATCCAACAATGCTTTGACCACATACATCCTTTTTTTGTTTGTACAAAGGTTTCTTTTCAAGTCTGCTCCAATCTAAACATTTCCTGTAATGAGGCAGGCACAGAAGTCAGTGTTTCCTTGGAGATCAATAAACTTCATATTTGTTTGAGATACAGCTTGCTTTTTTTTTTTTTTTTTTTTTTCTGCCAACAACCGCATAACTAATTGTGAGTGGTTTATTTTTAAAAACTGCAGATTGCAATGCATTCAAGAGATGGCATCTTCCAATCGTTATGGTGATCATGGTAACCACTCTCATTTTCAGCTTCTGTGAGGAATGCCTGGCTGTCTCAAGCAAGTCCCCTCGGGAGAAAATGAGACAGTGCTTGCATAAAATCATATGCACAGCACAGAGAGAAAGCCATGCTGTTGTTAGGCAGCATATGCTGCACAAAAATAATCTGTACTAAGTAAAACCATCCATGTCTGCAAAGCTGTTTAATGAAAGATGCAGAAAAGAAATGGATGCCTTTTCTACAGCACTCACAAAAAAGAAACAAGCCTTTTCTTTCTAAAAAAAAAAAATCTCAAAACAACACACTCATCTTAAACATGGCTAAATATCCTTCAACATTTGTTTTCTTTCATCAGATGTCTTCGTTTCAGCTTCATTGATCAATATGTATTTTTAAATGAAAGTACACACTATATTTAAAACAAATTCTTATATTAACATACTATGTTTTATTAAATGAAATTCTTACCTTAATAATTTTATTCCAGATGGGCTGCATAATATACACAGATAAAGGATTTGTATCCACAGCACTGTACTGTGAGGAAAAAGCAAGCATGTTAAACAAAGCACTGAACAATGGCTATATCTCTAGGACTACATGTCCTTCAGCATGTAAGAGCACCCAGTGAGACTGGTGTAAAATTATTTCATTCTGATTCATACCAGTTTTATTTAATTTAAAAGCACTGGCCTGGTTTACAATTCCCTTGTTAGCAACTCTATGTATTAACACAATGGCTTGTGAAATGGCAAACATTTTACTTTTAAATTCTTATTAATTTTACAACTCTATAAAATTCTGCCGTATTTTGGATTTAACACTTTTATTTCCACTACCAGTAATGCGCAGTCTGAGCACCAGTTCATTGCTAGTATGTAGGACAGACAAAGAATATGGAATGTGTTTGTAGGTGGAATATTATCTTGCAGAGATACTCAGCTTTTGTCATAGTAACACAGTTGCATTTGCAATTTGCACTATGCTAATTCATGTAAGGCAATGTTATTATAAAAATGAGCTCTAAAATAGCACAGTTCATTACCACAATAACATTTCTCTATTGGACAGACTTGAAAACACATGTGTTTTATAAATTCAAGTAAGTAAATATCTATATCTTTTGTAAACAAAATATTTCAGAAATCCAAGGCCACCCTGAATTGCTGTTGTCTCATTTTTTCTCAGAGGACAGTATCAAGGTTTATCCTGCCTTGAGACTGCAGAACACAGAATAATCTTAGGAAGAACAATCTTAAACTGACAATACCACTCAAAACAAGGTACTTGAGCCCTGGTAGGTAGACATTGGAAGAAGTTATCCATCATTGGGTTGGTACACGTAATTATTTCAGAAATTCTTGGACTTCGAAAGTGCATACCTGGCTTAACATTGCTAGGATGATGCATATGACTCACAAAGATTCAGATATATCTATACATAGCACTGTCCAAACACCACGTGCAGAAAATGGGAGTAGGATGGGATGTGTTAGACCACAGTTTGACAAAGCTGTTCACTTGCAGAAGAGCTGATGACAAAGAGTCTCCTTTCACATAACTTCAGCTAACAGTTCATTGTCTCTCCATACACATAGTTAATTTATTGACCTCTCTTACCCAACTACCCTTTGGATGAGACTGCATTCCGGAAGTACCTGTTCCAAGTCATTAATTATCAAAGCAACTTAGGCACTTATCTTAAGCTCAGGTTCCTACATATGAAATGCTTAGGAACTCTTCCATACATTTCCTTTTTCTATCTGAATACAAAGCATATGTTTTAATTACCTTCTGGACAAAACAAAGCATTCACATAGTAATTTTGTGTGTTCAAGTTTAAATCACAAACACAAGTTTGTGATTTATGATCAAGTTAGATCAAGATTTATGATCAAGAACTTATGATCAAGTTTAGATCATAAACACAGCATCTAATAAAATTATTATAGCACAGCTGTTCACTGTAAATACATACTGACAAATATCAAAAAAATCACCGAGCAGTAACTGGTCAGAGAAGACTGCCTACATTTCCAAAGGAAATAAAATTTTCAATTTAATGAAGTGTACACCACTGATTTTAATTTTTCTAAAAATGCTGTAAGTGTTCACTCTGATGTGTCACTTTTCTCTGCTGCTGCCACCCATATTACTTACTACACAATGCAATTTTGTCATCAACAGATTTTCACCAGAATATATATTAGCATTCTTAAATACACTACCTCAGAAAAAAATTAATTTGTAAGTAAAACTTAAGCCTTCATTATTCTGTATGTATTTGCAGGTCCAGATGCTGCATTTATCACTTAAACACTGATTATTACAACTGTTTGAACTTTATATAGTCCAGCTTGCATGTGAATTACCAAAACCTGTGGGCTTTGCTTCCATTTATGACAAAATTAACAATAGTACCAAGCTATACAATACCTATGCCAACAGACCAGTCAGCTACTACATAATTCACATGAGAACTATGGAAATCTTCTGAAAATGAAGAAAATTCAAGGTATCCATAAGCACTTTTGAGATTCCAGGTAATCAGGAGCCTGCTCAAAGTGTCACTGTGGCTACTGCCCATTTCCTTACCCCAGCTGGTATCCAAAGATTATGTGAAATATGGGACAATTTGATGACCAGCAAATTCAATTAATTCAGCCATACCTGGATAAGAATGTGCAAAGGTCAAAATAAGGGAGTTTTACCCTTGCTTTTACTTTGGCATTCTCCTTCTCCCCTCACCCCCAAGTCAAAGTCACAAATAAAATTAGAAAATGCTAGTTAAACAACAAAAGTAAAATGAGGCTTTCTATCCCAAATATTCACTGGCTGTTCAGAACTACTGCTTGCTCTTAGAAGAAAAAAAAAAGAAAGGACAATCAGTCTCATTTCTTTGAAATTGTTTTCTTATAGAGAAAATATAGTAGATATTATATAATTTTTGTATTGTATTTACTGTATAATGTAAGAGATTAGGTTTTTCAATGTATCTCTACACAACAGACACAAACAAGAGACACAGTCAGCTTTTTGTTTGCCTCACTGTTTCCAAAGTCAAGCACCAAAAATCAAAACAGACCTTATTGGAAAAAGGGAAAAAAAAAAAAAAAAAAGGAGAATTACAGTCAGCTTTTGTCACCTAAAGACATTTCAGGACACACCACACTTCATCCTGTTAATTCCTATGTCTGTGGCTGAACTGTCGGTCCTCTGGGTGGGGAAGGAACATTCAGCAGATGTGCAGAAGAATGGAAATTTGCACTTCCCTCCACAATGATTTGTTTTAGCCAGACCAAAGGAAACACCCATGGAAAAATAGTTCTCAGTCACAGCAAAAAATAAAACTTGACAAATAAAGTCTGCTATACCATTTAATACTCTGCTTTGTTCTGCTCCCAAGAAGCTACTAACCTCAAGGCCATGAAATCCTCAGGAGTTTAATGTTCAAGGCTGCTCAGAAAAGCAAAGTACTGAGTAACATGCTCACATTATGACCAATGAACATGAATGCAAGAGTCCATTGAACCTGATGGAAAAAAAGCATTGCCATTTGCTATTGTGTAATTCTGTCATTTTCAGGGCACTCATACTAAAAGACAAAAGTGGAGAGGATAAGCCTGTTGGAGGTTTTTAAGTGCAAAGCTCATACAAGTATACTAAGCACTTCCCTGCAAACAGTTTCTGCCCTGGGAAGGGGATTGATTGTCCTTATACAAAGAAGAAGGGCTTGGAATAATCAAAAAGCTTCTCCCAATTATTTTTAAAAGAAGTTGTAACAGCTGGGAGGGAACAGCAGTAATAAGGAAATAGGAAAAATGGCACTGGCTTCATCTTACTCCCAAATTTAAAAATGCTTCTTCTGGTTTTATTTAATAGCTGATATCTCCTTGAAAGTAATCTGCTTTCTCTCTCAGTGTTAATGGCTTCTAGAAGAGCTAGAAATGAGAATACAGACAACAGACATGAGCACACATACATGGTGACTGGGGCAGCACACATGAAATGCGCTTGTACTTTGTGTTCCTGCATCTTAATTTCCATCCAGGGGATCCAGCACAGCACAAAGTTTCTGCTGGTCACCTGTGTTAAAGGGGAAAGGAAATAAGATTGGGGAGGGGGAAAAGGGGGATGGCGGAAGGGATAAACAATTAAGAGAAGCAACAGGAAAGCAGAAGAAAGAAAAATGAATAAAAGCAAAGTTTTGGCTACACAGTAGGAAGACAACTGTTCTGCAGTGACAGAGCAGAGCCAAACACCGAGGGACAAAAGCACTCACAGTGATCAAGGTCTGCACTGCTAAATACAAGACAAATGGTACCTTCTGGCTCACATCCACACAGCTTAGAAACACTTCCCGTTATTGCAAACTGGTCACATCAGCACCACACAGCATCTGCTGGAGGGGTGTTGGGCCTCATCATCTGGCCCCACACACCCAACACATCATTAGCATTCAATATGTTTAAGTTCAAAGTATCTGAAACAATCTGGAGATTACACTGTAACCCAGCAATATGGCACTTTCAGAGCATGACAGTGAGCCCTGTCTGCTGTGCATGTTCAAAAACCCAAATGCCCATGTTGGAAGAGTGCTGAAGGATGGTGAAACCAAAAAATGATGTGGACTACCTCCAGAACAGATTAGTTCCAAACCAAAAGCCTAGCTATTGCCTTGGAGAGACTTTAGAGAAATAAACAAAAAAAAACCCAAACAGGGCGTGAGCTAACCATTAATGAGAGCAGACACTGGATCTTCACTGGACTCCCCAGCCCTCTCCAGCTTTGCACTGTGGACTCACCACAAGAATAAAATTTTGGAATGACTATGATCAAGAGAAAAATATAAAACATGCTGACACACACTTCAGAGTCAGGAGAGAAAGCAAGCTGCAAGAAATGTAGTTGCATAACTACATTATATCATTATTTCACCTTCAGCTGCTCTTTATACTAACAGACTACTCCTTTCCTGTACTTAAATCATCTTGTCCCAGGTATTGTGCCACTCAGTCATTTACATTCACAACACCTGTGTTTTGTAAATGACAGACAAAGAGATGGGAGGCATGACAACGGACTCTCTTTTGCAGATAAGGGGTTTTTGTGGTTTTGAAACTGGAAGATGACCCTCCCAGTCCAGGGTATGGATCAGTCGATATTGAAGAGAGCTCAGTGGGAAATCACCCTTCTGGGCAACGTCTTATGCAACATGAACTTGGCTTCTGTGATACCTTACACTTCAGGAACCACATAAAAATTAAAGAAAATACTGAAATACTGGCACATCTGGTAACAATTTTCCATCAATCTTTCAGATTCCTAGAATACATTAAACATGTGGAGTTTAATTCCACTTTATATATGTTTTTACAGGTTTGTAGTTTGTATGGGACACAGTCTTGGATCTTAACAAAAGCTTCACAAAGGGAAGAAAGAGAAGCATGCTATAAACAACAGAGCTCCACAACACCGTGGATGCCAAATATGTTCAGCAGTTTAAGTGCTGATGTATTCCAATACACAGTCCTGTT